TCGTTGAAGAACAATATTTAAGAATATTTTCTTTATGTTAGATTTAAACTTATTTTTTAAAGCCTTGACCTTTTTAAAATTGTTTTTTTTCTTTATGGCTTCTAAAAGATAGCGCCCTCTATAATGTTCACATAAACCCCTGATCAATTTCCATCTACCCACCTGCATTAGTTACGGTAGGATGACTGGAAATAAACTCAGCTCCACACTTATAACTTTGAAAAAGCTTAGTGAAGCATTGAAAGTATATATATATTTAGTTCAAGATATATATATATATATATATATATATGTATATATAATTTTTAAATGTCAGCAATATGGACAGTTGAGTAGTTTTTAAAATCGACTTAATAAACAATTTGAATAACTTATTATATTTAAGTATTCGACTGCACTGAGCAATATATCGTCAGGATTTATTCATTTTGATTATTTTTATTGTCATGTTTCAACCTAGTCAATGTTTCAACTATAATACATAGGCTATCTTCAAGGTTAAAAATAGAATCAGAGATGCAAGAAATACATAATTTAAAAAAAAACGTTGAATCCTTGATTTTATTTTTAGCTCTAGTTTCGGTTGAAACGTTGGCTTGAACAATAAAAATAATCTTAATGACTGGGTTCTTAATGTTTATGAATGTGTGGAGTTGTATTATTACTTTTATAATGTTGTGATATTTTATTGCCAAAATTATTATTGTTGATATAAAATTCTGTGTTGCCTGTGAGAAAAGTGTATGTTAAGTAATTTATGATATTTTAAAAATAAACATTTTTTCATATGGATGCTGTTTTAAGAAAGTAAAAAAAAATAATAACATAAGAGAAGTTGTAGGTCACGTATTTTTATTTTGTTGGCTATGGATTTTTTTACAGTCCATTTATTTAGTCCAAATAGTGCCTGAAGTTTTAATTACTTACAGGTTTACAGCCGAAAGCCAGAGTGAAATGTCGTGTTTTCTAAATAAGAGTTAAAGCACCCAGAGAAGTATTTAACTTCCACCGCAGTACTTGCACTGGTAATACTTTGTTACCTCTGTTAGTGTATACTTAAGGCAGAAAATAATATTTTGAATTAAAATTATTTGGAAAGCTTAAAATTTCATTAAATAATGTCATAATTTGTTAAATATTACAGAAAATGTAGACGACAATAGCTCCTTGCAGGAAGTAGCTATACAAAACCGCAATGCTGAACACTACTGCGGGGTTTCATCAACCGGCGCACCTGATTTTGCATTATTCTGTTTAATTTTTGTCCTCATAATGATAAGATCTTTAAGTTTATTCAATCAAAGGGCTAGTGATTTAAAATATTTTATGTATAATTACTTTTTCCAATTTATAAGTAATAATTAAGAAAGTACTGTGTTAGTTCTGCGGTGGTTAATTACTACTCTAGGGTGCTTTAACTCTAATTTAGCAAACATGAGATTTAAAGTGATTTTCATACCAAAAAATAAAATATTTTTGCAGTTCTATTATGCTGCAGTGTCTTAATGTGTTTGAAAAAAATGTATTGCTTACTGAGTGATGCATATTTTTTGACGAAATTTTTATTTCGTATAAGTTCGCATCTCAATTCCTGAGACAATATTAGTCCCAGGTAACGTACTGTGACCTGGGACTAATATTCGACAGAAGGATGATCTGGGGCCCACACGTCAAAATGAAACGACAAACCTTAAACAAGCGACTGAAAATACTGTACTCACTCTTTTCTAAATCGAAATTGAAAGTTCGACAAAAACTAAATACATACACTTACCTACTCAAACCCATCTGGACATACGCCTCTCAGATTTACGGTTCGGCAGAAAAGACACACTTACAAAAATTACAGTCATTTCAATCCAAAATTTTACGACTTATAACAGGAGCTCCCTGATACGTTAACAACAAAACTTTACATAACGACTTACGACAGCCAACTATAGACGAACACATACGTACTCTCTACTCTCGTTTTCATCTCAAACTAAACGGACACACAAACAGACTTATAAACGACATGGCTACGGCTGACATGTCCATTAGGAGGAGATTAAAAAGGAGCTGGATGAGAGATCTTCTCACCTAAATCTAAAAAAAATAAATAATGGCCAGGAAGAGGTGTTGCTGGGTACTATCCTTCCTCATGCCTTTTAATGCCTATCCTCATCAAGAGAACACATCTGCTGATTGTTAACACTAATATAGGAGCTGATAAATAATTAAAGAGAAAAAAAAAAAAAAAAAAAAATAAATATATATATATATATATATATATTATATATATATATATATATATATATATATAAGTTCTGATAAAACCTTGATAAGCATCAATGCTCATGATTTTATTAGAAATTTCTATTTGACTTAAAAAAAAAAAAAATGATCGGTGTTATTAATTTGTTTATAGATACTTAGGACTTAGAAAATTTTCATCGTATAATAAAATTAAAAGGAAAAATTAAGGCTCAGAATTAGGTCATAATGTATTACTAATGTATATCAACGTTAATTGAGTCATTTAAAAATTGTTTCGTGACCAAACACTATCTTACGAGAGCAATAGTCTCTCTAGGGCATAAGTCTTAAATTTCCATGATAGTAATTTCGTTAATGTTTTCTGGAATATTCCATTACAAGAGTGAAAGTATGAGGCTTTATGATAAAGAGTGCTTTAATGTCGGAGATTGGGTTGGAAACCCGTTATGAATATTGAAAACAAAGATAATATTTGTGATTTTTGGCAGAAAATTTGTTTTCATTGTCTCACTTTATCTAGATAATTTGGGGTTCCTTGCATTAAAAAAAAAAAAGAAGGTATTTTTGCTTTCCTTTCTCTCTCAAACCGATCTAAACCTTGAGGAAGAATAGTTCGTTCTAAACTTTCCTCATCAAATCGCTCTTCTTAGCCCTTTTCAATTAGACTTTAAATAATTCTGCCTATTTCAGAATACTTGCCTTAATAAAATTATCTCAATGTATCAAATTTTAAAAATTAATGCTGTAATTAAAATGAGATTTAAACGATAGATGAATTTCCATTTAACATTCATCGTATGAATCATTAGACTTGCACTCTTATCTCAGGCTGTCGTATCCAGTTTTAAAGTTTTATTTAATATTTTGAGTATACTTCCATGTATGTTTGTTGTTTTTCCGTTTAAATAAATTATTTCATAAATAGAATACATGCATTATGTTATAGGTTAAGTTACGAGTTTTCATAGGCGATCAACAACTTGGTTTTTACGCCCTTGAGCTATGGTGTTATTTTTAATTTATCATTATAAATGTATAAATTTAAAATTATATTTTGAAAAATAAGTAACTTATTTTTTTTTCAAGTATTCCATTGATTATTATATTTTATGGTACAATACAAAAAAAAGCTTCATAGTATTTTCTATTGACTCTTAGTCTTTTAATGCTATTTCTCTACAATGGGGTATTTTGTTTTTTACAAAAGCTTGATTTAGTAATGTACAATCTTCTATTATATTCTTTATAGCTAGCGGAGAATGACAGGTATCAGCATATAGTTGAACCTCATTTGTAATTAAATGGACGTGAGTCAGGTTAATATGACCAATTATCACCCTCGTCACTACCACTTCTCTTCTGTTTCATCTTGCAGCACTTATCCACTGTTTTGTACTTTTTTAATATTTCTAAGTTTATTAGTCGGTGGAATTTCATTCCACACGGACTTCGATTTTCGAGTACTCTGTCTTTAATTTATTACATCACTTGGCTCGTATATTTGGAGTGGTGGGATATTCTTATGAGCAGGTACTTTAGCAGATTTATCCCCTGCCTCATTTTCTGGTATCCCGGGGTGTCCTCGAGTCCAGAAAAAAAAATATACTTTTATTACGGTTGTTTATAATTTCGATGTATTGGTGGATTATGTTTATTGTAGATCCGTTTTATTGCAGTTTGCTTTACTCTGATGGGCGGAGATTGAATCAGAACATATTACTATTTTCGAGCTATCTCTATTATTGATAAATATAATGATACAGAAATAGCTTGTAATTCTGCTGTATGTATTGTTGAGGTTTGGGATAATTTATACTTATTGGGAATCCCATTTATAATTACTATGAAACCGACATTATCATTCTGTTTGGATCCATCAGTGTATATTATTTCATATGTATTATGTTATATAAAATATACAAGCCCAAGACTTTCTTAGGATAAATCTCGAAAAAAAGTACTTTATTACTGACTGGAAATCAGTAGTTTAATACGATATGAACACAGTTTCTTTCAGTTGATTTCATTCTTTCATACAGACATACATACATACATACATACATACATACATACATACATACATACATACATACATATATATATATATATATATATATATATATATATATATATATATATATATATATATTCTTATTTTTCAAAATATTATAGATAGATATCTGAGAAAATATGTTTCCCTTCAAGGAAAGGGTTGACTCCCAATAGTCTAATAATCCAATACTCTTCAAAACGTTAATAATTCTACTTTTAATAAAAATACATGTAAATAAAATAATTTATTCCATAAAAATATTCAGGATAAATTGATGTGTATTCTTCAATGTTAAGAAAATCTATATATCCATGGTTGTCACTGTTTTCAGAGCCAAAATGTTAGTTATAAAACTAAATAGATTAGCATTTTAAACAATTTATAATATATTTCTGAGCTACATGGCTCAAATTATTTAACAAAGGGACTGTTTAAAGGAAATAAAAACAAGAAAAACATTTTTAATTTATTTATACTTTTATATGATCCTGAAGTTGTGAAATGTGGGTCCAAGCATCTTGCCTCTACTTCAGAGTCGAATTTTTTTTTAGAAAAAAATCTTATGTGTATGCTTCAGAATAATAAAAGTCAATAATTTAATTAATTCATTATAATTATATTGAGAATATATAATGCTAATATAACCAAGATTATTTTAATTGTTTCAGGATTCTACATGCCATGGTTGATGTCGTTGGCATGGTTGGCCGCTAACAAGAAGAAAGGACTGCAGGAGGTGTTCTCCTGGAAGACGGTGGACTTCGACTACCCCAGTCACCAGGCCCGAGACCTTGCTCGGGCCCATGGGCAGTTTCACCCCCCGGACGTCCTGCCGCTGGGACTGGAGCGTGTCGACGACCGTCTCTTCATCACCCTCCCGCGATGGAAGAAAGGAGTTCCGGCCAGCCTCACCACCGTCAACCTCAACTCCGGCCAGCGATCGCCACTCCTCAAGCCGTATCCCGACTGGGCCTGGCACAACGGAGACTGTAATGGCATCACCTCTGTCTTCAGAGTGGCCCTAGACGAATGCGGGCGCCTCTGGGCCATAGACTCCGGAGTAGTGGAGCTAGTCACCTCGGTAAAGAGGGCTTGTCCTCCGCAGATCCTCGTTTTCGACACTAAGACGGACAAATTGTTATTTCAGTACAAGATTCCTATGGGACAGGTGCCGGCAGGATCATTATTTACCAATATAGCCGTCGAAGTTATGGATACCTGCCAAGATACGTTTGCATATGTCAGCGATGTATTTCGTTACGGGATCGTCGTTTTCAGTCTGAGAAATAACCGTTCGTGGAGAGTTGAACATCCTTACTTTTACCCTGACCCATTAAAGTCGAGATACGACATTGATAACATAAAGTTCACATGGAATGATGGTATATTTGGCATTACAATGTCACCCAGAGACGTAACTGGGAGAAGGTATTTGTTCTTTCATCCATTATCCAGTTTCCGAGAGTTTCATATTGACACATTGATGCTAAAAAACGAAACCTTCGCTAAAAGAGCAGATGAAATGATGAAACTCTTGGGAGAGGAGAGGAGGGTAGACAGAGGACATGCTGCTGGTTCATCGATGGATAGAAACGGGGTTCTCTTCTACAATCTCGTGTCCCTTTCTGCAGTCGGTTGTTGGAACTCAAGGTTGCCACATTACCCCGAAACACAAGGAATAGTAGAAATGAATAATACGACGCTTTCCTTTCCTAATGATTTAAAAGTTGACAAAGAACCCATTCAAAGATTGTGGGTATTGAGCAACCGATTACATAAATATTTGTATTCTAAGCTTGATCCTTCTGATGTAAATTTTAGGGTAATGACAATGCCTGTAGATGAAGCTGTGAAAGGAACGCCTTGTGAAGATTCATTTGTCTTACCACCTAGGAGAACTGGAAAGTGTTATGGATCATAGACTATAAGAATATTTGTAGGAATCTGCCTCTTTGAGGTCATGCCATAACTTAATATTCATAAAATTATAATGAAATGGTATTTTTGTGTTCAACATTAATTTATTTACTTTTTGTTTCTTTAAGCGAGTTGATGATCATAGTGAAATGTTGAGTAATTTTTTTTTTTTTAATTTTGACAATCTATTATTGAACATTAAACTAGTGCCAGATTAAAATGTAATTCAGAAACATGGATAATGTGTGTAACTTAGAAACTTGATTTTTTTAATACTATGGATTCTTCATTCACATAAAATTTACTGTAAATAAATTTTAATAAGCTCAAAAAACTGTTTTAAGTTCAAATTTATATCATATTAATTGATTCTGATATCATACATATTGCATTGTTTTAACAAAACAATAATAATACAAAATAAAACTAATTTTATCTGTTATTTTTCTTTTAACAAATTTTCTGTAAATATTTTTATCAAAATGAGCTCCAAATTTTTTCCATTCCTCGACTTTCAAACTAATGTTTTTTAAAACTATGTGATGTAAAATATAAGTAGAGAGTAAAATGGTCACTAATGTTACCCACAAGTAATCAAAAATATTTTGTTTTTAACTGTTATCTTAATTTCCTAAATACAATAGCTAACAGGACTGAATTTTAGGTGATGGCCAATTAATTTTTCTCTAACTTAAATAATTAAAATTAGTTTATGGAAATGCCAGAGAAAGTTTAAGACTTTTTTTTTGGTTTTCAGTTTTCATTTAGAGGGTTATTTCCATTGACCTTTTTACTCTCATTATTATAAAATGGTCAAATGTAATAAATTATTTTTTAGAGAATTAATTGTATACATTATTTAATTTCGACTTTATATATAGTGAGCATGTGGACAAAACTATATATTGATTTATTAAAGTGCTTATAAATTGTAAGTATGTATCAAACTAAATGTATGTTTAATAAGCCATTTAATTTATTTTATTTATTTATACCTATAATATAACTTGTATTATAACACAGTTCTCATTCAAAATAAAGAAATTTCAGCAAATTGTTGTAAGTATCCTATTGAATTTTAGCAAACATTTTGTGAAGTATAATGTGAATACTGCCATTAAATGTAATGTTTGTATTATATAATGTTCATAATATTAATAAAACTATAGTAGAATATTGTATATAATTTTTAACAGTATTATGTATTTATTTTTAATTGATCATTTTTTGTATTCATTCAAATAAAATAAAAAATCATGCATATAGTAAAAATTATGAGACCCTTATTTCTTAGAGCAGTAATAATTATATCATATTAAAATGAAACATCAAATGGATAAAAGTGATACCAGTTTTCATAACATTTTATTCAAAGTTTGACATTGGTACATTTTTTTCAAATACATCTATTTTCTAACACTTGTTAAAATGGTAGAAAATATTCTAATTTTGAAGAGAAAAAATAATATATATATATATATAGAGTGTCTCAGTTCTTAATGGTCATACTCTGGGGGGGGGGGAAGGGGAAGGGGGAGGATTCTAAACAAAAATTTCCAATAATCCAATAAAAAAGTTCTTTTGATGCATGGGCTGATTCCAAATGGAAAATGAGTCAAAGCCATTTTATGTTTTCGTCATAGTAGTCACCTCCTTTATCGAATAAAAAGGAATATCTCAAATCAAAAACTGTTGAAAATAATTAAATTCTTATCATACTATCGTAAAGTAGACAAAATCATTTTGATATTAAACGGATATTAAATTTAGTAAGGTAAATGATAAAATAATTTTAAATTTACTAAGGTCAATGATAAAAGGGACAGGTCTGATACGACCACAGTACTGCAGCATTGACAGCACTGGCGGATCCAGGATTTAATTTTGGAGAGGGGGAGGCTTCAGCCCGAAAGCTTTTTTTTTTATATATATATATATGAATGAATTAGTGTGATATATATATATATATATATATATATATATATATATATATATATATATATATATATATATATATATATATGTATATATATATACATATATATTTAAACATAATTATTTAATTGGGAATAAGGTCACTTATTAATTATTCAAGAAACTACTAAATGTTCATTGCTTCTGTGTTTATTCGACGTTTCGATCCCAGTTTTTTTTTTTTATAAGTTAACAATGGGATCCTCTTCAAAGCTAGAACAACAGACAGCTTAATCGGTACACAATTATGCATCCATATGTTTCTAATAACAATTATTTCAAAATTTTAACCTACTTTTAAAATAGAGCTTCGATACCTCAGTACTGTCCACCAGCACATATATTAAGCGTCTGCCCACTCCGGTCCTGAGCCCGAAGGCAAAATATTAATATAAAACAGTGAAAATTGCATCTATTTTATATAAAGCAATTGAAAAATGCATCCATGATAAATATAACAGCATCAAGAAGATATATCTATCAATAACAAAAACAGCTTGTATAACATCTCTTGGTTATAAATTAACGTATCCAAACTAATTAACATTAAATATATACATATACACACACATATATATATCTTGGAACTAACTTTACAATTGTTAAAAATATAAATAAATATCAAATACTTTAAAATTACTAAAAATATAAATAAATATCAATTACTTAAAATATATGTACATTAGTCATCTTATAAAATGTTAACATTATAAAATCATAAAACAATATTAAAAACTATTAAAAAACTCAACTACAGTTCCCATCCTATGATTGTATTTTCACCTTTACCAAACAAAAACAACATCAACATCTTCAGTCCAAAAGCCTTTCCCTTAGATCCGTCTGTGATTGACAGTACCCACACGAGGAGCATATCTCTGTACATTGGCCCGTATTAGACCTGAAAATCCCTTTTATCATTGACCTTAGTAAATCATAAAGTCCCTCATTTCATTGATCTTAATATATTTAATCACTGTTTTCTCAAAATAAGTTTTTCTACTTTATGATGGTTTACTTAGTATTTTATTATCTAGAGCAGTTTTTGAGCAATTAGTTCTTATTTGATAAAAAAGGTTACTACTTTGAGAAAAACACAAAATTTTTCTTAACTCCATTTCCTTTCGGAAATGGTTCATGCATTAAATGAACTTTTTTGTTGGTAATTTTGTCTAGAATCACCCCCTTTAGTTTGGCCATTAAGAACTGAGACAGCCTGTATATATATGTGAGTGTGGGTGTGTTAGGTCAATGTTTAACATATTTTAAAGTACTTACCGCCTTTATGCTAAATGTGTTGTATTTTTAACTCTAAATTAATAGTCACAGGAGAATTCTAATCAAATTGAGCAGTTTTCATTGAACTTAAAATTCCATTAAATTTTCATTTAAAAAAAAAAACCTATTCATGTTTTATCCTGTTGATCCTGAGTAATCTCATTGCTCTCCAGGGTTTTTACCAATCGGTATTAATTAATATATTTCCTGTAAGCTATTCCTGTTGTAGAGTATTAAGATTGTCAAGCAAATCTCTGTTGCCATTTCCTAATTCTCTGATATAATCTGCAAATCTATGTATGCTGTACTTAATTGGTCTTAGTTGAAGTATCTGAGGTGAATAATTTTGAGCATTTTCTTTGTTCTGTTCAGCAAAGGGCTGAGACTGTCTTGTCGAATCTCTAGTTTGATTCGCGTTCTTCAGAGTGATTGTTTCTGATTTTTAGAATGTGCCACTGACAATTATAAAGCCTATCAACAGCAAATATTAGATCCTGATAGATTTAATTAAATACATGTTCCTGGAAGACAACATTTCATGTCTTGAATATATATGATAAATAAGTACAGATGAATCCCTATTAACCAGTTTTCTGTCGACTGTGATTTGGATTAACTGACCTAGTAAGAAGAAGAATAAAATATTTACAGATGTAAATTTCTGTTTGAAATTTTCGCAACATTTAGAGAAGGAAGATTAATCCATCTCTTACCGCTGTTTGTACTTGTGTAAAAAATCAACAGCAAGGACATGATTCACATGTAAGCAATGACTTATGAAAACATTTCAACTTCTATATGATTAAAACAATAACAGAAACTTTTGCCAAATGTTAAAACTTTTCATTGTATACATGATATAATTATGAAAATAGTGAAATATGGTCATCTCTATTTATTCAAACTATATTTTCTTGAATTACACAATTACTCTTAATAGCTTTTGAAGTTTTGGTTAGGTAAGTTTACCCAAATCCATTTAGGTGATGGCATAGCTGCTGGCACTTAAGATATATGGGGAGCATAGGTCAGTGTAACATTTTGTCCAATGCATGCTAGAGGAAGAAGGGATAGAACACCATCCACCTGTTATTATATAAAATATTCTTCAAAGATGTTTTTTATCCATACCATATCTTTATTAATTCTTCATAAAATGTAATGATTGAGCCACTATTATTAATACTATATTTTTTTTAAGTGGGAAAAATGAGCACATGGTCTAGATAAATCAGAAAAACAGTTTGAAGAAAAAGAAATTTTATTTGCAGATAACTCATAAAGTATACAAATAATGGTGTTATACAGTATACGGAATTTAAAAGTTCTACGAACTCCCCACACAAAATTTACCAAGAATAAATAAATTAATTCCTCCTTCTTATATTGCATTGAATTTACTTGTTTCCATATTATATTGCCATTTGTTAACTGACCAATATTCTATGCGATTCACACAGATCAAATAGTAATGTAATTATTATGTATATGGTACCGGAATGTAAAGGTAAATTAAATTATTGCGATGTATTAGAGGAATCGATTTATCTTCCTTAAATAATGGGGGAGAGGTATAAAAAGTACCTACCCTCTCCTCTCACTTTAATTCTGGTGTCTATTAATGATAAACAGAATAGTTATGTTACAAATCCAGACTATTCCTGTTATTGATTTGAAGATCACTTCGTTCCAAGCATATATATGGTTTAAAAAATTAATGCCTTGAATTAAATTCAAAATTTTAGTAAGATAAGTTGATGAAAATAATTTTTTTTATCCATCGAGGGTTAGAAAAAAAGTCATGTAACAAAATCTATATATAACAATTAGATATATTGTACTAAGATATTTATATTATAGATTAATGGTTATTTTGGCCACATTAGTATTGATTTGTAAAAAAAAATTGCAAACTATTGATTTTACATAGTTTAAAAGGAATGTAATGTAGGAATGGAATGTATTTTTCAATCATATTATGATTTAGAAAATGTTAAATGATTACATATAAAAGAACAAAAAAATAAATATGTTTGACAAATGAACAAAAAAATAAGGACCAAGTATGTTTTTTTTTTTCAATTTATTTAAAAGCATGTGGAATGAAAAGGCTATTATTATCATGTTTTCTTTTTTCCTGTCGTTCTATGATTTTTAGAATTTTTTTGGGTAATTTATCGGTTTGAGTTCCAACATTCCTGAATAATGCATTAGGATCTATTATTACTGATTCAATTATTGATTCAGTAGGAGGTGGCATATGTTGCAAAATAACATCATCTTGAAAAATAGAATTGCCTGTACAAGAAGCAATACTTTCTCTAGTTCTTATTTTGATAACCGAATCATGGTTTGTTCCCCATTTATTTTTGTGACCAGCCCCAAGAGGATCTAGATCCAAATTATTGAATTTTTCTTTCTTTACAGTGTTGTTTGTTAAAATTCGCTTGATTTTCTTTGTCAATCTTTCCACCTCTTCTGGAGTCATGCGAAGAAATTTCTGAGTCAATTCCTCATCCCTGTCAGCTTTTCGACTTTGACATCTAAAAATTTGTGGTTTGCTGAAAGAATTAGTTAATTAAAGATATAAGATAACTAAAGATATAAGATTAATTAAAGCGATGACCTGAAAAAGTCACAAAAAAAAATGTTATACTACAATAAAAAACTTTATATGTAACTTTAATTGTTGCCATTTAAACCTTGTTTAGAGGACAGCAGAAATTTTGACTCTTTTGTTATGGTGATAGTCATAGTTTTACTATTTTATTGGTTTAATTTTTATTGACTTATCTTGCAAAAAAAATTTCTAGATTTTTTCCATACCCATTCTTGAATGTTCCATATTTAAAAAAATGAGAGAATTAATTTGTAGACATTTGAATCGATCTCTTGAAAAACTTAGTTATCAAAATCACATAAAATCATTGGAAGTTATTTGAAGTGATTAGTTTCTAAAAGGTTTTCAGCTTAAAATGAATTCTAAATATATACCATGAATACAATTGAAATTTTTAGATTGATCTATATTGATAGCCTATACAATGTGTTCATTAACTTTCATTTATATTCATTTTTTTACTTTCACTTACCTAGATATCTAATATATAGTTAAGGAAAGTATTGCGATTGTGAAAATATTTGAATCTGAGTTTTCAATGGAAATACATGTTTTGAGGTCCCCTGAGTCCAAATAACCAAGTCCCGCAAAATGGTCAGCGTGTCAGTGTGTATGTGAACAGCGTAGCTCAAAAACGAAAAGTTATACAAAAGTGAAAGTGTGTATTTATGGTTTTTATATAGTTCTAATGTAGCAGCAACTTTTTCGTCAAATTGGCTAACCGGAAGTGCCACTTTATATCATGGGCAAAACAAACTTTTACAATTTTCTAATGATTTTGATTAAACTCAGTGCATCATTTTATAATAAAGTGGTCTTTAATACCATTGCAGTCTTATCCCCATTGATGTCACTTTACAGAGCTTAAATGACCAATGTTCATATACGCCTTCCTCTAATGTAATCTTTAATATGGATTATTTAAAAAAAAGAACTCTCTTTTTTGTCAGTAACTATAAAAAATGGCTAAATATGAAGTTTAAAAGAATATTATGATTGGAAATTTGAGAAAAATAGAAAAATGCTTATCCAGGTTGAAAATGAATCACTGGAAATAACAGTCAGAATGTATATGTATAATATATCGTTGGAAAGCGGAGAATTTTAGAAAAAATAAGATCAAATAAATAAAGTTGTCGAAGGAATCGGAGAGTGATGAAAAAAATTTAGATAATAATTTCCAAAAACTAACATTATTCAATCTAAATCACATGTTTCCAAGGAAATTAAATCAAATTTTTTTACTAAATGTAAATATTTAAATTTTTTTCTAAGTTAAGTAAAAAAGTATTTAAAATCCAACAAATCAAGCCAGTGCTATTGTTTAAAATACTATTTCATTTTGCTTGTTTTGAAGAAGAAGTAATATATAATATTTCGTGGATATTTTTATAACCTTAAATACATTTGCTGCAGTTTAATAACAGTTTAATAGATTGGATATTATATTTAAATAATTAGGTATCTATCGGCTGTTTATTCTGAAAAATCATCAAGTGCACCTTTTAGAAAATTAAATTAGTGAATAATTTGATTAATTTTCCCTTTCTAAAATCCCAAGATTATCCACTTACAATTAGTGTGACAACTTATGACCTATCCATGGTAGGCAAGGAAAATCTCATAATATCATTTTAGCAAACTTCACAATGGAAAATAACAGTTTAATAACTAATAGTCCTACAATAATCATTTAAAGGTTAAATACTCAGATGTACTTTCAAATTTCTCTAGTCATGTATGAGCCTTTTGGTTCATAGAATGACTAACTCCAATTTAAACATTATTTATTATTAATTTTAGTGACGCTTCTTGTCAAAAAAATTTATACCTTCATTCACAGTTATATATTTCAAAACTGCAATCACCCACTCTGGAATCAACTTACTGACTATCTGTATAGATATAATTTTTCCAACTAGAAATATCACTAAAACGACATTACTCAAAAATGTTGAAATTGGAGTTAGTCATTCTGTCAACTGAAAGGCTCAGAGACTGAAGTTACGTGGTTTATAAAAGCAGATGGAGAAACTAGATTTTTATTGCCTAGTGCCAATATAATATCTAGACTTTTTGTAATTTAATAATAGCCAAACATTGCCAGAAAATAATTTCTATCCATAGTATAGCGGTAAGTGAAATTTGTGTGTTGCGAGCACCAGATTTTTTTTAATAGTGACAGATTCCTAATTGTTGACAAAATGAAATTAATCATCAATTAAATTTTATATCTTCATTTAAAGAACTCCTAAATCTTATCAAGTGATTAACATTGATAAGGAGATCAAAGAAAAAAATGTCAATAAGTTAACATTTTAAATGGTATTTGTTTCAAATTACTTACTTCATTCCTAAGGATATTCTGAAAAACCAATTTACAGCTGCTTTAGCAACTAAGCTATCAGATGAGCCTTCAGAAATTTCAGTGACTCCTGCGTTTACACTTTCAGCTACCGAAGATTGACTTTCTTCAGAATCCTGTACGGAGAAAAAAGAACGCTTATGCCGCGTGTTCTTACCAAAGCTGCGGATTACGGAAGCAGTGATAGAATTCTTAAAATATCATATTATAAAAAAACTTTATTACATTTTATATTAGTGCAAATACATACCTTATCAATTATGTATTTATAAAACTACCCATCATTCACATAAAATTTTCTGAAAACTTGTGTATGCATATAAGATATAAAATTTGTGTCATTGATTTGTTAAAATGAACTAATATAAAATTAGTTACAGTTACATAAGAGCCAACTTTGGAATAAAGGCAGACATAGTTTATTTTACATTCCCTACTGCGTAATGTGTGCCATCAACATTTTTTATTTGAGAACTCACTGATTTTAAGTTCATAAATATCTGAGTTCAAAATGTTTTTTTAAAAACATGTTTCATAATAAATTGTATAAAAAACAACTCTATTAACTTCACAACAATCATGATGAAATTAGTAGACTTCGAAATTAGTCAAAAGTAGTTTCAGAATTAGTAGCCATGACTTTGTAGTTTTTGTATGGTCTTAGGTTTACTGATTTATTGTTTGTGGTTTTTGTAGATTACTTGTTATGAAAAAAAAAAATATATATCCACATATCTTTTACAAAATTCTTTACAATAATGTTCACTAAATACTATTAAATGACATTTAAGCTTTTGCAGTATCATTTTGTAGTATAGTAAATATTGATTTTGTTCCCAAAAATAAATTAGATCAATTATACTGTTCATTAAAACTAATGAAATAGAGCAAGTAAACGAATCACAATAAAAATATGGAGCACCCTCAAAACAAAACACAATAACACAATATAATTTTATCGTACTTCTCTCTCTGGCACCCTCAGATTCTGCTAAATACAGCTGGCCAACTATTTTTTTTAAATTGAAGGAAGTGACATCCATCATAATTTTTTTAGTGATTATTTGATATTTTAAGTCCTAGCTCAAATCCAAACTACTACCTAGTTGGATAATGAAACAAAACTCTTTCATACTCTGCCTACCATTTTAAAATATCTTATAACTGCACCTTATTGGTCCTGAAAATATTAAAACAAAATATTTCTTATGAATATCAATTTTTCCTCAGATTTATTTTAATTTTCAAAATGTTGAGTAGAGAAATGAAAAATATGATGTTTAAAAAATTGTTATAATTGAGTCATTCTTATCACATCTCTATCCATAAACAAATTCTGGCATATTCTATTGCCAGAGAAGCCATTAACTTCAGTGGACTAGGATTCATCCTTTCTATAAGAATGACCTGTATAATTGTGAGATAAGATGATTAAATTATTTTACTTATGACATCAAATACCTTTTCAGCAATCATTTCAACACTTTGGGCTGGTTTCCTTCCCATGGAGTACATGAAGTCATTTACTACTACCCACATAAACACAGAACATGCTAAAACATGAGAAAAATATAACTGAAGAATAATTTTATAAATTTTTCTTATTATTATTTTAAATTCTGTTGTCCATAATATTTTATTTTTTTCTTATTAAAATTATAAAATACCTTAGTAAATATATCCATAATAAATAACTAATTAAATTAATAAATATGAGAAAATAAATTAAATTGTATGGAAGATGTATAATTTATCATACCTAGTTCAGTCCCTTTTGTCGTTAGAAATTCAAAACAAGCAGGATGCGGTTCTGGTAAACAGGAACATATTGCAATTCCTAAAAGTGCCACTAGTCCATTTACAAGAATCGACCTAAATCCTGATACTGTCAGCCATACCAAAATCAGTATCCTTCTCCTTTCCTAATGAACATAAAAATTTCTAAGGAACATTCATCATTCATAGATTTCTTTTTACGTTATAATTTAATTTATAAAGAAAGACAAATATTCTTGTAAATTGGGCTCTACTGAATAACTGTTCATATAAAACAATATGTTGAACCGGGATATTAAATTATAATTTATAACAAATTAAATAAATCTATGAATACCCTAATAGGTGCAATAATTTCTGTTTTAAGATTTAAAAATACGTTTCAGTAATAAGTATTAATAAAAACTATGATATTATTATTTCATTTCTCATTTTTTAGTTGAACAAAATTTTATGAATTAACTTTTGCATTTCCATTTCTTTATAATATGATTGTAGATTATATTGTATTAAGACATAGAAATTCATCTTCACGATTAGTCGTAATATTTTTTTAGGTCATTAGATTCATGTAATTTTATCTTTTAATGCCTTTAGGAATAAGCATTTCCTACTTAGGTACTGTCTGTAGTTAGGTATAGTCTGTAAAGAGTTTCGTACTCATACAGAATCTGTTCGGCTTTATCTTCATCATACAGTCACTAATGACACTTGAAATCCTCCTCTAATTTCATTTTCTTAAGATGAAAATTTTGATGGAAAATGGCCTTCAAGTTTTTATGATTCATAAGACAAAGAACAGAACCGTCAGCGCCTAAAATGTTGACCATCTAGATAAAATGTGAAAAGTTACCAAGGCTGATAGGTTAGCCAAATATTGCTCCCCTAAAGCTTTCTCTTAATCCATTAACTTTAAAATTAAATATTTAATTAAGAGATTGTAGAATTTTAATAAAAAATTGTTACTTGAGAAAGAGGTGAGGATAATTTATAAAAAAACTAATTAAGGTTTATTTAAAACTTTTGATTCAAGATATTTAATATAACTACGTATAATATATTTTTTTTTGTTATTTAATTATTTTTTGGGAAAGTTTCCATACAAATTGAGTTGACAATAAAAACATAATAAATATAACTGCCAGTTCAATTATGAATTAAATAGATTTATAGTTATAAATAATTCCAATATATATATATATATATATATATATATATATATATATATATATATATATATATATATATATATACAGGCTAAGGCGCTTGCAATAGGTAATCAAAGTTAAGCAATGTCCAGCGTGGTCAGTACTTGGATGGGTGACCTTCCACCACGGAGGAAAGACACGCTGCCCAAGATTCATCCTCCCTCCAGGTATGTGATACCTTTCAGCCTACTGGAGGCAACTCACACCGCAGGGAGGTGAGTGACCCTGTGGTAGACATACCTCCTGGTCCTCCAGGTAGGAGGTTGGGCATAGGGCTAATAACTCTATGCTGTCAAAAAAAAAACTTATTAAGAAACCTAAAACCAGCCTCGGAAAATTTGACTGTCTTAACACGGTAACGACTCTGGTTTTGTATAACCGACTCCATATCGGATCATGGAATGTTCGGAGCTTATACAGACCAGGAGCCACCCAAACTGTAGTTAATGAAGTAAAAAGGTTTCATCACATCAACAACTGTCTACCGGTATTTATTTATATTTTAATTTATTTACTTCTCATAAAATATGGTGCAGTGCAATAATACTATTGCACGCAAGGACAAAAACAATATTAACTGTGCAAAATGTAAAATTATTTACCATAGTAGGTGTTTCAACTTAACCGATAAAGACATCGAAGCACTAAAAATTGTTTAAAAAAGCTTTAACCAACACACTAGGAGCCAGAATTGAGAGATTCGAACAAAAAGTTCTACGTAGGATAACAGGACCTATATGGGACCAGAACTTTGACACATGGAGGAGAAGGAACAATAAAGAACTGCTGAAAGAAATGGGTCAGTCAATATCTCAGGAAGTTAAAATGGGCAGGGCATGTAGCTCGTAGCAATCCATCAGGACGCCTTTACACGCCAATGAATGCCAGAGTAGTAGATAAGAGACCACGTGGAAGGTCAAAAACCAGATGGATAGATAGGATAAACAAAGATACGGCTGAGCTTCATGCCACAAACTGGAAAGCAGTAGCCCAAGATAGGCAGAGATGGGCAAGGCTGGTTCAGGCGGCCAAAGATCTACAAGGTCTGTAGAGCCAACCGAAAAAAAAAAAAATATATATATATATATATATATTTATTTTTATATGGATAACATCACATATTATATATATATATATATATATATATATATATATATATATAATATATATATATATATATATATATATATATATATAATTGCATGTCTGTCTGATTATAATATAAAAAAATAAAGAATTATATGTGCTTATTATAAATAACAAAGAATGAGTAATATATAAAATAATTAGAAAAAAGTAATACATAATTGAAAATAAAAATAATCACTTACTAAGAAAAAATGAAATATATATAAAATTACAGGATAGAATTTTTTTCTATTAAAAAATACATATATACATACACACACCCGTAATTATATATATAAGAATAAAAAATTTAAAAGAAGAAGAAGAAGAATAAAATATACATCTACTTTCTATTATATGAACCTTACAGATTAAGTCAATAATATGTATATTGTTATCAATAATAAAGAAAAAAAAAAAATACAGTACTAAAGAGGTGCATCAGGAAAGGAGATATGTTCATTTAATTATATGGTTTTTATAGAGAATAGAGAATTTAATAGAGAATTTATGATCAAAAGAACTAATTATGCATTATGAACTAATTATAATTATGCACATGTGAACTAATTATGCACATATTTACAAGATGTGAAACAACAAAAAATAGTTTTAAAAAATGTGACAAATGTTTGATTCTTGACAAATGGTGCCACATCAAAAAAAAAAAAGTGAAATTAAAGATTGCTCTGATGATGGAAAAATTGTACCGAAACGTTAGAGATAACAAATGTAATTAACAGAATTTGAAGAAAATTGGAAGCATTATTGCTATAAATATGAAAAAATTATAAACGTAGGCTCCCTAATAAAAAAAGAAAAATAAGAAGATAATTAAATAGAGAACTTATGATCAGAAGAACTAATTATGCATTCATGATAACTGTATTTAACATATTAAAAATATGTTAGCAAAACAGTTACATTTTACAAAATATTTAGATAATGAATAGAGCACAATTGTGATTTTCTTGTTTTAGTAACAATTAATAAAATAATATAATTATTCTGAATAGCATATAATATTCACCTTCAGTACAGGGAAAAACAGCAAAAGGAATGATGCTAGGTAGATGTGAACAGTTGCGCCTCGTGCGAGAACTACCCCTGAAATAACTGAAATCAATGCATTATTATATCATAGGAAAACTAACTAGCAGGAATTAAGCAAAATAAAAATGAACTTTAAATTCTAAAAAAGATATATATTTTTATTTTTTAACACTATTTCTTCTCCCACACCTGTCATAAGCAATGACAATTAGCGGGTCTGCTGTCGGTAAGAGTACAGGTTGTGGCTTGATGGAAAGGAGTGCCCAGCACCATCCCTTCCTTATATGTATTAAGTTTTCAAATTATGGGATTATTGATTGTCTATAGAATCTGGCCTTTTGATAACCCTAAATAGGATGATACACAGATTATGCTTGTTTTCCATTCCATTTTTTATAGTTCCCTGGCTTGAAAGCTCACCAAAATTGAAGTCCCCTTAAAAATATGGTTCCCTCTGAAAATTTATAACTATGTAAAACAGTGCTTCTCTTAAAAAAATATATGACTCAGCTTGCACTATGTCTCTCTGTTTTACCCAGTAGCACTAGCGGATCCAGGATTTAATTTTGGGGGGGGGGGCTTCAGCCCGGAAGCTTTTTTTTTCATAAAAATAACGATATTTACTTTGGAAAAACAGAAAGAAACTAACTACCTATATGTAATGGTGTTTAAGTGATTCCTTAAGTCCTTTTAAATGTAATTAAACCAACAATAATACTTTAAGAGGTATTTTTATTTTCCCCATAAAACGTGGTTATGTTTTACCATTTTGGGGGGGAGGGCTTCAGCCCGAAAGCCCTCTCCCCCCGTAGATCCGCCCGTGCCCAGTAGATACTTCACAGCCTAACACTAGCTCATCAAGGATTTAATTTTGGAGGGACTTCAGCCCGAAAGTTTTGTTTTTTTTCATAAAAATAATGATAATTACTTTGGAAAAAAAAATAAAGAAACTGTCTACCTATATGAAATGGTGTTTAAGTTATTCTTACAGTCCTTTAAATGTAATTACAAGAGCAATAATACTTTAAGAGATAATTTTTCAATATTTTTTTCCTTAAAACATGGTTATATTTTACCATTTTGGGGGGGCTTCAGTCCCAAAGCCTTAACTCAAACCACTCAAAATTCCCTTTTTTTCTAAAATTTGATGTATTATTATCTTTTGGTAGTTTGAGGAACCAAAGAAATCGCGCATTATTTAATGTTTGCAAAACTATCTATGTGTTTTTAGAAAGATCAACAGACAACAAATGCATCGAACTTAAAGATAAATTCAAATTGTTACTTTAGAAAAAAAGTTGTATTTAGGAGTTTTGGAATTAAGGTTGCAATATATTAACTTAAAAACATACTTCTTTTTTTCTGGAAAAATATAAATATTGAGTTATCAACCTCCTGGGTAAAATTATAAAAAATAAAACAAAAATTACCTGTCCTCAACATATTTTCAAATGTTGTTGGAAGCATCTCTTCAGGGAAGATCATCTTCCAGGTATCATGTAGATCTTCATGTAAATTTAAATACATTGCTTCAATGACTGCAATGGCCTAAATAAACAATCCAGATCTTGGAACTAATTAGGTCATACAAATATTTATAGTAAATGCTATATTACAAGTTCTGATAATGGTTCATTACATGTTTCTTTTAATTATTTCATTTTCTATAATACAACTATTTAGTTAAAAATTGTTGCCAATTAGACACAATAATGACTGTCATACAAGGATAAAAACAAAATGTGTGCGTATTCTTTTTTATAAAAAAAAAATCTTTCTTTATTTTTGAAATTACATAGATTAATTCAAACCCTTGGATTTTGGGGGCCTCATAGAACCAAAACTGGAAAGTATTAGATCAGGGCTAAAAAACAACAACAAATAATAACTAAGGAAATAATAGATAATCAGAAGAAATGAAAATCCAAGAAGAGGTTCATAGATATGCAAACGGCATAGAAGGAAAATAAAAAATTAAAGACTTCCGCCTACTCAATGAGAGGTTTCAATCCATTTATTATCTTCTTTGCCTATAGATTATTTCTCGCATATGGGCTAACTGATCAAATGATGTAATCAAACCTATTCTAACCATAGTTGGAAGATCAAGATTTATGCTGTAGATCCGACACGAAAAAAATAGGGTTTCTATCACTTGGCAAATGTAGGTTTCTTTATAGAAATCTAAGAACTCTTTCAACCGAAACTGGGGCCCATTATCAGGTGTTGTCTGTGGACACTCCATATGCTGCAAACCATCTTCTATGCCGATTTATCGTAGCTGCTGTGGTTTTTCTATACATTATTTCAACCGAAGTCCACTTTGAGAATGCATTTATGCCTAGTAGTCAAGTGTACCTTCCAATTGTCCGGAAATATCCAAATCCAATGTTCAAGGGATAAAGGGGTGCTTTTCGTTCATCTTTCCTGTTGGTCTAACAAGATTAATAACTTCTAACGAACGATTGTATGTCCTTGTCAAACTCCAGCCACCAAACATGAAACTGAAAGTGAAATCATTGTCGTGATGCCCGGTGACCTACATATAACTGTTTTAGAACACTGTTCCGAAGTTTTCTGGGTATCACCATTCCTCCCAGTCGAGTTACCACATCTTCTTCTATGTTTAATAACTCTCTTTATCCTTAAAACCATTCCTTCAATTACTCTATTAATTCCTTTGGACCTAATGACTGGTCGTAATTTTCGGTTTCTTTTTCAAATTAAGGTTATGTGCAATAATGCAGATATTCTGCTCTCCAATCAATTGGATCTCTTTATCTTCTTCGTCATTTCTTGTCACAAGTAAGGGTAGTCTTATTAGAAAATCTGTTATGATATTTTCGCTTCCCTTCTTTTACTTTATAAAAAAGTTGAATAAAAACGATAGGAAGTTTCAAAACTCCGATGTTGGTAAGTCGATGGATCGATAAAGAATAAATTGATTAATGATTTTGACGCGGGAATTCAGAAACGGTTCTTATACAACATATTAGTACGTGGGCTTTAAACGCCAAAGATGTATATACCGTTTCAAAACAAACCGTAATTTATCCCTAAAGGTTTCCTTTAGTTTTAAAAAATAATAAAGAGAAGAATAGTTGGGGTGATCAGTCAAAAAACTTCTCTTCATTATCCACGACAGTCAACCATTTACCAATTAAAAAATAATAAATTATCGTTATTCATCTATTGTAAAGCTAAACGCAGCAGAATAGTTTTGAGGTCCATGATACATCTCGGATAATATAACTATTTTTGTTGTTATTCATATTTTCAGTTGTTATTTTTCAAAAGAATTTCGTTAGACAATTTAAATATAACTACAATATTCCAAGAGACTTATAGTTTTGAATTATTTGCAAAATTAATGAAAAAAGTGAAGTAATTTCTATGAAAACCAGCTCAGCATCGCACTACCTTTACATGTTATTGTTCAAAGCCTTTTTTTTTTTTTTTTTTCAGCAAGGAACATTTTCGTTAACCTGGACATCAATCCATAGGTTTAGCCATAATTTTGAACATTGTCCACTCTAAGCGCGAAAAATAAGCCCATCTCCCGGAAATGTCAAGAGAAAAGTTTTAATCTCAAAGTATTTTTATGTATTACTGCCAAAGTATTACTGCCTTATTATTAAAGTATTTTATGTATTACTGCCAAATTATAGTCTTACCTCACAATAACTATTGTTCAATTGAGAGAACAAATAAAAGTACTCAATAAATAAAAAATAAAAAAATGCCAAAGTTAGAACAAGTATACAATTTATGTTTGAAATTAAAAAGGTTCCCAGATTTATAGATATCGGACAATTTTTACTTTCACCTTCCTACATATATGAGATTTATATTGAAGGAAAGTATTGCGATCGTGAGAATTTTTTTTTTTTTTTTTGTCGAGTTTTTATCATATACAAAGGTTTTAATTTCATTTGGGCTGGGTCCAAACAGCGAAGTCCCAAATATTGCATGTATCCGAGTGAGTCTCTCTCTGTTAGTGTCTGTGTACATGATCACATGACAGCCTTGCTAAATTGTCTTACCAAATTGAAATCAGGTATTAATGGTAGCTATAAACCTGAGATGTGTATCTGCCATGAACCTCAGAACTTAAAATTGTTACATAGCTGCTACATTTTACATAAAATGAGCTCACCGGAATTGGCACTTTACTTATTAAATTCAACATTTTCATGATTTTCTCGAAAACATCACTAACGATTTTGCCTAAATTGATTGTACCAATATACAATTAAGTGTTTTCAATAGAAGGTAGGTAAATGTACATGGCTTATATGCTAAATTTTCAAAATGGCTTCCTCTAAAGTATCTTTAATTTGAATAAATAACTGTCTCACATTGTTAGTAGTAATAAAAAATGCATAAATATAAACTATGAAAAAATTTGAAAATTGACTAGAGAAGAAAGAAAGGAAAAATATTTTTTTAGATTGAAAACTAATTTCTGGAAAAAAATAGTCAAAATATCTATGTGTTTAGACATAAAAATCTAAAATAGAAAATCATAAAAGCTATTGAAGGTTAAGAAAAAACTAATGAATAATTTAGTTAATTATGTCTACACTTATATTATTGAAGAGAAAATATATGTATGGATAGACACTAACTGAAGTTTTTTATGAAACTAACAAGAAACTTAAAATTTTTTTTTAGCTTGTAAAAAATAGCAGATGAATAAATTTTACACTGGGACATTTAGTCCCGTAAGAATAATAACTTTAAACAATAGAAGTGCATAAAATGATAAGAAATAATTAAATTACAGAGTGATTTAACCTTAGAATTAATATAAAAGATGAGCATAAGTAATCAAATATAATATAATCGACCGAATAAAGATAATGATATGGCTTAAAAAAGTTTAGTGGGATATAAGAATATTTTATGCAGTATTTCCAATAAATAAAACATATGTTTATAACCTATAATAAATTTACTGTATTTTTATAACTAAGTCGGTTAATATTTTTAAATAATTAGATTTCTCTCGTCGTATAATTCCGAAAAATAATTAAATACAGTTTTATAATATTAAATCAATGAATAATTTTCCCACAGTGAAATCACATTATTTATGCATGACTACTTTTGACCTGTGAATGGTAGCCAATGAAAATCTCGCAACTCCATTATGGTAAATTTTACAAAGGAAAAAATAAGAGCTTAAAACATGTATTAAGAGGGCAGTATATATTAAAACGCATAAGTGAAGCAGATTTAGTTCTAGTAACTTTTAATTGTGATAAAATTCCTAATTATTATTATACTAAATAAATATTTAATTTGAAATCTCTTATTGTATTTAGATTCTAGAGAGTAAGAGTTATGTAGTTTAAATAGAGAATAAGGTTATAGCCTACCTTCGACGTAATGAATACAATTTGTATTATTTTGATTGTCTTAATTAGGTATAATTAAACTGCAATACAATTCAAAAACTTTTTATAACAGTTCAATTTCGCCAGAAAATAATTTCTACCTAAATGGTATTTCCAGTAAAACTAAAAGGAGATTTTAATTTCATTTTAAGTTTGAGAAACAAAAAATTTATAGGGCACAAACTGTCATAATTTTAATCAATTGAAGCACTATTAATCCTAATGAAATCAATATTGTTAAGGTTTATTGATTCAAATCTACTGAAAATTGAGTGATGCATTGATATTTTTATTCTGATTGAGAAAGTTTGTTCTTTAGTGAATCTAGTTTCTTATGTTTTTTTCTTAATATTCAATTTCATACTGGAGTTCTCGACTGAGAAGGTTATGATCGCCCCAGATGGATTTCGTCTTTGTATGTGAAAATAAAGATAAACATTCTTCTAAATGGTTATGTGTAACCATTTGATTTACGAGTATTTAATTTAAGAGATTGATATTTTATTAACTCTATATGAAACTTGTCATTAAAAAATCTTTACATCAACTTTTCCTTCAAGCTTTCTTCAAGATCGGTCATGTACGGAAATATAAATTTATTGCATAGCCTATCAAACATTTTATATTGTATCTCAAAAATTACAACTCGTTGTTTCTCTTGGAACATGTTACTCAATTAAATTATACTATTCGCAGAGAAGCAAGGCTATTAAGGTTATTACAAGCATTGATAATTAATTTATTGTTATTTATTATATCATTAAAACTTACAAGTCCAAGAAGTGCCAATAGAAGTACTTCTGAATTTGAGCTCAAGCAAGCACACATTTATATTTTTATTTTAGTTACTCTACCTTCAATTTTAAATATAACCTCGACAAGCAGGTTTCTTCTTAACTCGTAATCTAATCTTAATTACAAACATCACCCTAATAAGGAAATAGTTAAAAAATACACAGAATTTAATAAAAATCAGTGGTAACAATTTAATAACCCTCTTTTAAACGTCAAACGTCGTTAATTGTTAAATGTTTACATTTTCTTAATAAATACTGTTATCCATATGTTTAGATATTTGAATAAAGAAATATATCTTTTTTAAAATATCATAATTGTAATGAATAAATGAAACGAATTTCACTGAGAATAATAAAACTAGTACTTATAATTATATATATATTTAAATATAACAGTACGAAGGGTGAAGATCGTAAATAAAATCGATGGGTTTACTCTACGAACTCAAGTCTTAATCCAGTCTGATAGATGCACAAGATCTCATGATTACATCGTAAATGGAATTCGGGAAATGGTCGAGTGTCTCCGCAAGTAGAAATTGATCGATAAAGCTGAGAGACTCATTGGTTTAGTCACTCAGGCAAACTTCGGTTATCAGGTTGCCGGGCACAGGGATGCCCCGAAGGGTTTCATGGCGAATATTTTTTTTTGAGAGGGGCATATTTTGACGTGCTTTTGAATTTTTGAGAGCTTCAAATTTTGACAGAGTTATGAATTTTTTTACTAATGGGCAACTGTAACACATGGACTTGACCGAAACAAATGTATTGATATATGACCTATGATTATTTTAATTCTAACTTAGCTTGCTCTGTTTTTAAGAAAGGTGAGCAATATAATACCACGGGAGAATGGGGAGGGATCCTCTCCCTCGAAGTATTAGAGGACAGGACCTACTGAATAAGAGTTTATAGGTAGTGGAACTAATCGATGTATATCCTTCGCCTTTGGTTGTGATGAGCAAGTGTGCTCCAGGAGCTGCAGAAGTAAGAGGCTCTCGGAAACTCTGCTCGGTAAAACTGTATCCAGAAGCAAAGAGTAAAAAAAGCTTCTACAAATGTCAAAAGATACAATATCCTCGCCTTTTAGGCTATAAGGGGGAGAGGGCGGGGAATTATGCCACGTTAAAAGCCCCCTTGGCATTGGGTTGCGAACACGGTATTCTTTTATATAACTATGTTTTTTCTGAGTGCTATGCACATGCGTTAGCCCTCTGGACACCCCTCTCCTCTCCCCAATTTGGAGGGGCTTCCAACAAGCCTTTGTCTTTCCACTTCTCTATTGAGGCTAGAATTCTAGTATTGGAAGAATTTATGGGGAATACTCGAGAAATAACGGTTTCCTATTATTGCTTAGATGGACAAATTAGACATCGTGATGGTCACCAACGACAGGACAGAGCTGATGCAAGAAGTATAATGATGAGCTTGTCTGGTCGGAAGATAAATAAGGCCGATGCTATCCTTATGAGAGTATTGTCGGATAAGACACATCCGATCATTATCCGAGTATAAAGAGAAATAATAAAAAATAACAAAACATAAATTTTTTAAATGATTGTAAATTAATATTCAGACTATTTCATATTCCTAAACTTGAGAATTCTGACATTTTTAAAGTAAATTGTAACTTGAAAGAAGATTTCGGAGGATAAATACTAAACCTACAAGTAAAGAAATTTATGAAGTAGCATTCATTATTGGCTTCTACATAGTTACTTCACATTTCAGTTCAAATATAAAAAATTCAACCTCATGAGTCATTAAATAGTTTTTATAAAAATAAAATTTGAAAATTTTCCTATCACATTCGGCTTCACAAAAATGTATTAAAGAACTGATAGATATCTAGATAAATTTTGAAAGTTGATTGCTTGTTAATGTTATAAATTTTGACAAGGAATCTCGCAACAGCTATTATAGTTTTGTTTACATCTCTGAGGCCGGGGCCGGAGGTTTAAACAGATAGCAGTGCTTGGCTGTGAGCCAGATGTTTGTACTGTTTTCACATTTATGGCCACACTGGCGCACACTGGCGCAGGAATAGGTACGGAATGACGCGTATTCGCAAAAATGAAAACTATCTAAGCTGAGAAAATTAATAAAATGTGTTACTTTTTAAAATAAAATAGAAAATGAATTTATGATAGTCAACAGTAAGATTTGGAGTGCAGTGGCACCTTTCTGATAAAAGTTATGTTCACAAAGTATCATAAACTGTAGATATACAATAATCTGCTTTCGGTAGTTTTTGAATGTAATGTTTATTCTAAAAGTGACCAATTTTAATGGAGGATCTGTATAACATAAGAAATTAAAAAGGTATAACAAAGCTTTTAATAGTTAATCAATTTTTAAACTTATTCTTATTAATGATTTTTGATTAAATTAGTACGAAAACCCATAAAACAAAAAATCTTCATTAATACCCTAAATGGATAGATGCTCCCATTTTTTCCTTATATGCGTGTTATTTGAAAATATATGTATATTAAAATGTGTAAATAAATTTTTATATCGATTCTAAGATACAGCTCCTTCTTTTCAATCATCATTCTTTTTTTCTAGACAGGTATGATAATTCGATCTGAAATGACTACATGATACAAAATAAATTGATTAGTGCAGGATCAATGAGCTAATAGCAAAGTTACGATCCATTCTTTTCTAGGAACTTGATTATCAAGTAAGTTTAAAAAAAAACATCAACCTGAAATTTTATAAGGCGAAAGTAAAAATGATAAAGATCGAATTACTGCTCACGTAATTTGTAGTACTGCTCACGTTCGACATGAAATACTTTAGAAGCATCTGAAACATCAGTTTTCAGTTAGATGTCATCATACGCCTTTAATTTAATTTCTGTTAAGGGACGTTTCATCCCCTGTATTCTCTGTAGGTTAGTACTTTGAAATGTTGGTGTCTATGCTTGGACATCGGTACCTGGGCTTCCTTCTATACAAGAGACTGACATGGAACCCTCATACCAGACTCAAAAGACAAGAGCTTAACCGATGATGTGAACAATTATATATACTACTGAGCAGAAACTCACATATTTTCTTTGAAATCAAGCTTCTTATCTGTAAGACCATACTAAAATCCATCTGGACGTCTGGGGCTTGAACTGTGGGGGACAGCTAAATCTTCGGACATCAAATCTATCAAATTCTTTCAATCCAAAGTCCTTCGAACAATTGTCAATGTTCCATGTTACGATTCAAACAAAACCTTACATCGTGATCTCAACATCCCATTCGTCCTCGACCTAATTCCATTCAGATTCAAAAACTTCCATCAAAAGCATATCCATCATCATAATCCCTTATCACAATCCCTTTCCAGCTCCAACCATCCATATAATCTCCCACAAAGGTTAAAATGGTAATGGCCCCGAGATATTTGTAAATATTCTATTGGAGTTTTGGTAGTGGCTTTCCACTCAAGTCCTGAGCGTATATGGCTTAAGAGTTCTCACTCAGTCTCCACTTGCTTTCATACAGTGATGCGACTGGGAGAGAAGCGCTGGGAACTCTTTGAGCTCTGTTTTGTCTTTCACATGAGAGTGGCAAGGCATGGTTCGGAGTTTCCTCAAGTCGGAATTTAAGGAGTTGTTGGTCTTTTTTCTTTACAATGTATTTTTTTTCTTTTTACAGTTTTTTTCTCTATTTTTCTTTTTCATTTAATGTATATATTTTTACTTATGTTTTCTTCTTATTTTCTTTTCTTTTGAGCTTTTGTTTTAATTTGTATATAAAGAATGAATGTAAGCATAGAACTATAATACCAAATGTTCTTTATTGTGGCAGATTGTATTGTTATTATTATCTCTTAAAAAAAAACTTGGACATAAAGAATAAAAACTCAGAATACCTGCAATCCTCATAATAATTAATCTTGAAATTTCTCATCGAAAAGGAATAAGGTTGTTATTACGTTGATAAGATGTGTTATTAAATTTATCGGTAATAATTAATTTTTCAAAATGTCTAATTTTTTAGATTAAATGGTTACTAAACTTAAGTTCAAATGAAAAAAGATGTTAGAACAATGAACATTAGAACGAAGTGTGCCATATAAATTCCGATTTGAGAACCAAGAAAAACTTGAATACGTAGGTGACCTTAATCATTTTATTCAGCTCTTTAAAGAGGGGACATGGATAGAGTTGAGGTGAGGTCAGAGAGGTGACGTCACTGGTTAGCTCAGCCAGTCTATATTAGGCATCGGATAGTAGGACTACATCTCTTATGATTGCGGAGTCTTGCAGATCTTTGTACCTTTTTACTTCTCAGTACTTTCATCTTGCTATTAAGATTAGAAACGCTTAATTACATGCTTAATTACATTATTAGAACTATTATACTAGGTCAATATCAGAACGTACAAACTCAAAAATTGAATTAGAACAACAAATATATCATTACGCCTGAAGCTTCTCATCTATACAAGCATAAAACGCCCGTCTCTTTTGTATGGTGCACCTCTGTTCGATCATGTCAGCAAGCCACTGACTGGTAACAGGTTGCAATATTCCCAAAATGGAATAATCAGAAAAATAGTAGGAAAAACATCGATGCAAAGAATGAAAACATTAGATGTACAAACAGAACTATATTTATTTACAGCTAGAGAGTTTGTCACGGAGCGTAAGAAATCATTTTTGATGATGTTGGTTAACCCAATTTTTCGACACCCAAATACCAGCAAACATTCCAAAACGTCGGCAACAACTAACACAAGATTAATTTTTAAATTAAGTTTTAACAGCAAGAGTATAAGGTCACCTCAAGCCTGAGGTGAGACCCTTTAACCGTCATATAACAGATTCAGACAAAATCCACAGAAATGAAAAATAGAAGCAAAATACATCTCACAATGTTTTTTAGAATTAAAATGGTTACTAATAAGGTAGGAAATTATGAGGATTCAATACAAAATATTTAATAAAAGGTGCTCTGAAAAAAAGATAATATAAAAATACAAAATAAATGAATACAAAATTAAACTATTAATAGATCGCCATTTTAAGTATTCTTTGCTACAAAATAATAAACGCTAGGCAATGTTTCTTACACACACTTTTATATTGAAATTAACGGTTCAAAACGGGACAATAACCTTTTAAAGTTACCTTAAGCCTACTAAAAACTGGATGTTTTACTCTATGTACCCAAAG